GATAATGCTAATGATAGATATGCAATAGAGCTGAGCTCTGTGCTGGAAACCTTTGGTCTCACTCAGCATGTGAGTGGCCCCACCCACAGCAGAGGACACACTCTCGATCTGTTAATTACCAAGGGGGTTAATATTTCAAATGTAAATGTGGTCAATGTTGCTCTGTCTGATCATTTCTGTGTATTTTTTGACATGTGTCTTGATTGTAAACCACCAGCTGAATCTTCGGTTGTTAGAAGAAGACACATAAATGATAATACAGGCGAACTGTTCATGGGGAGGGTAAACTTTGAGAACACGTTGTGTGTTACTGTAGATGAATTACTTGATTCTGTCACCACCACTGTTTTGAATGTTCTGGATACAATTGCTCCTGTAAAGGTTAAAATAGTTACAAACCAGCAAAAAGCGCCATGGACTAAAGCAGACTCGGTCAGGGCACAGAAGAGAGAGTGCCGGAAGGCCGAGCGGAAGTGGCAAAAGTCAAATCTCAAAGTTGACCATGAGATCTTCAAAGATGCGTTGTGCAATTTTAACAGGGAACTACGTAGAACGAGGGAAATGTACTTTTCTGAAACTATTGAAGGCTGTAGCAACAATCTACGTGTTCTGTTTTCAACAGTAAATAGATTGACGAATCCCCCTGTTAAGATCATCAGAACTTACTTCCAAATCTAAATGTAATGAGTTTGCTCAGTTCTTTAATGACAAAGTCCAAGGTATCAAAAACGCCATCACCTCCACGATAGAAATAATAATCCAACCGCCAGTGAGGCTTTTTGGGCTGACGCACTTTACACCAGTACAAATTGAAACTGTCCAGGAGATAATCACTAGTCTGAGTTCCTCCACATGCAGCCTGGATGTATTACCTCCTAGATTTCTCAAGTCAGTTCTGAGCAGTCTTTTACCTTCACTTACACAAATAGTTAATATGTCTCTTGAATCTGGAACATTCCCAATGGCCTTGAAAACGGCGGTCATCAGGCCCCTCCTAAAAAAGAGGAGTCTGGAAGCCCTGGCACTCAAAAATTATCGGCCCATTTCAAATCTGCCTTTCATGGGAAAAATTCTAGAAAAAGTTGCCTATAAACAACTTACAGAATTTTTAATAATCAATAACGCTTATGATGCGTTCCAGTCAGGGTTTAGACCCCACCACAGCACTGAGACCGCGCTAATAAAGGTAACAAATGACATCAAACTAAACACTGACGCAGGAAAAGTCTCAGTCCTTTTTCTGTTAGATTTAAGTGCTGCTTTTGACACTATTGATCATGGCATCCTCATTCAGAGACTTGAGGACTGGGTTGGTGTTGCTGGCACCGCCCTAAGCTGGTTTAGGTCCTATTTACAAGACAGAAAGTTTTTTGTGGAGATCGAAAACTGTACCTCAGACCACTTGGCCCTGACCTGCGGAGTGCCACAGGGGTCAATCCTGGGTCCTCTTCTGTTTAATATTTACATGTTGCCTCTAGGTCAGTTGATTCACAGTAATAATGTCTCTTATCACAATTACGCTGACGATACTCAGGTCTATGTGTCCCTGACAGCAGGAGAGCATGAACCAGTGGACTCGCTCCTTCACTGTGTCCAGCAAATCGGTGATTGGATGCAAAATAACTTTCTCCAACTAAACACCGACAAAACTGAAATAATTGTTTTCGGACCCCAGAAACAAAGAGAGAGCGTTATTTGTCACCTCCAGGCTCTCTCTCTACAACCCTCAAATCAGGTCAGAAATCTAGGAGTGATAATGGACTCAGACTTAAATTTCAAAAGCCACATAAAATCTGTAACATCAGCAGCTTATTACCACCTAAAAAACATTGCTAAAATTAAAAACATAGTGTCTAAGGCAGACTTGGAGACTCTTATACACGCTTTTGTTTCCAGTCGGTTAGACTATTGCAATGGCCTGCTCACAGGTCTCTCCAAACAGGCTGTAAAACAGCTGCAGTACATTCAAAATGCAGCAGCTCGAGTCCTGACCAGAACCAGGAAGTACGACCACATTAGTCCAGTTCTCAGGTCTCTGCACTGGCTTCCTGTTCCTCAGAGAATAGACTTCAAAGCAGCTTTACTTGTGTACAAGTCTCTCCATGGTCTCGCGCCAAGGTACATCCACGACATGTTTGTGCCATATGAACCGACCCGGACTCTGAGGAGCACAGGGACTGGACTCCTGTTAGTGCCCAGAGTCGGTACTAGACATGGGCAAACTGCATTTCAGATTCATGCGGCTAGAGTCTGGAACCGTCTTCCTGAGAATGTGAGACAGGCGTCTACTCTGGCATCTTTTAAATCTAGGCTCAAAACAATTCTGTTTAGCTGCGCATATACAACTGAATGATTTTATCTTTTCATCTTTGTTTTTATCTTTAATCTTTTTAATGCACTGTGACTATTTATGATTTTAGTCCCATCTGTGATTTTAATGTTTAAAGGTTTTTAATTTTTGTGATTTTATTTTTAATGTTTTTAATATATCTTGTGCTCTTAATGTGTTTGATTTATGCATGATGTGATAGGGGATGTGAAGCGCTTTGCGTTGCCTTGTGTAGGAAAGGCGCTCTACAAATAAACGTTGATTGATTGATTGATTTATATCCATGACTGAAGCTGAAGAGCGACGCCTGAATTATTCATGAGGCATCAGGACTGTCAGGGCTGTCCCACTCCACACGGGAACTGACACAGGACCACAACAACACAGGGCAATAGGGGAGTGCAGGGGTATTATATATGACACCATAGAGATGCTAACATAAACTGTATACAGATGCTAATGCTAACACAGACTGTATACAGATGCTAATGCTAACACAGACTGTATACAGATGCTAATGCTAACACAGACTGTATACAGATGGACAATGCTAACACAGACTGTATACAGATGGACGATGCTAACACGGTGGCGACACGTGGCTGAGTGGATAGCACTCTCGCCTCTCAGCAAGAAGGTCCTGGGTTTGAATCCCGGTCGGAACAGGTTCTTTCTGTGTGGAGTTTGCATGTTCTCCCCGTGCCTGCGTAGGTTTCCTCCGGGTGCTCCGGTTTCCCCTATCACTAAAATCATGCTCACTAGGTTAAATCCTCCAGCTCCGGTAGTCCTGACCAAGCCGAGCATCAACATCTGGAGATGGGCTCCCGGGCGCTGTTACTACGGCGACCACTGCTCCTGGCATAAGCCTTTGCGGCATCAGGATGGGTCAAATGCAGAGGATTGAATTGCTCTATGGGGATTAATAAAGTGCCCTTTTACCTAACACAGACTATACAGATGGACAATTCTAACTCCCTCGGCCAAGAGAGAAGTGATCAAGAATAAACTTTTTCTCAAACTTGCTCTGGCTCCTATTGACTCACATGTAAAGTAAACTCCTCTATCTCAGTAACTGTACACACTCACCATTTTTGGTGTAAATCTGTGGTTTAGCGATGATATTTAATGATATTGTCTTTGTAAATCCAGATATAAGCCATATAAGGATTGACCAATCAGATGCCTTTATTCGCAAGGGAAACTCCAGCTTGCCTTAGCAACCGTGTTTGCAACCCTAGCATTCCTCTGTGACAAGGCCACATTCCTCTCTGTATGTGGCACTCCTGATGAGAGCAGCAGCAGCAGCAGCAGCAGTAGCAGCAGCAGCAGCAGCAGCAGCAGCAGCAGCAGCAGTAACAGCAGCAGTAACAGCAGCAGTAACAGCAGCAGCAGCAGCAGCAGCAGCAGCAGTAGCAGCAGCAGTAACAGCAGTAGCAGCAGCAGCAGCAGCAGCAGTAGCAGCAGCAGTAACAGCAGCAGCAGCAGCAGCAGCAGCAGCAGCAGCAGCAGCAGCAGCAGCAGCAGCAGCAGCAGCAGCAGGATTCCCTCAGGACCCTGTGAGAGCTCTGGCTTCTCAAAGTGGGTCCCGTGTCCGTCTCTGCAGCTCGGTGAAAGCTTTTCTGTGTTCTTGGTCCCGACAGCGGCTGGTTCTGCTTCGAAACGCAGCATCAAACCCGCTAACCACGGCACGCGGTGCGGCTAACCCGGAGCCCGATCCACTGTTCCACCGGCGAGGCTGTCACTCCCTGAGTCTGCTTTCCACTTCACCTCCTCTCACCCTCATATCACCCCCATCCATCCTCTCCTCACCCCCCTGCCCCAACCACCTCCCCCATCCTCCCCCTCTCCTCCTCCGCTGTCAATCTCCTCAGACAACTCCATCTTCTCACACATACACACACATACAGCAAACAAACCACAGGGAAGTCCACACACACACAGGGAGCAGAAGAGAGAGGGTGATGTACTTCTCTTGGACGTATACATGTATTTATTTAAAAGTAGTAATAATAAATAGTTTTTAGGACACTCAAAGACACTTCACATGTCATTCATTCACTCCATACACACTACTATAGCCACAGCTGCCCTGGGGCACACTGACAGAAGCGAGACAACCAGTCTGTGCCATCAGCCCCTCCCACCACCACCAACCATTCACTCACACACACACATCAGACTCATTCTAATGTGGGGGAGGTGTCTTGCCTAAGGACACAACCACAGTTTAGCACTATACAACTGTAGCTGCTCCACTGTGGGACCTGGTGTTCCCCGAGGTCTCCCATCACAGTACTAACCAGCCCCAGCCCTGCCTTTGCCCTGCAGGAGGAGCCACTGTGTTTATGTGAACGTGAGCAAGAGACTTTTCACAATTTCCTCCGGGATCGATAAAGTATTTATCTTTTCATCTGGTTCATAATATCAGACTCTACACGCTACACGCTACACTCTACACGCTAAATCAACTTTTCACAGCTCTTGATCCTGTTATATTTATTTCCCCTGTCATTTACACATTCCAAAAGTGCAATTCCTGCATATTTAATATACGGAGATCCTTTATCATCAAACAGTGGGAAGTTTCAGTGGAGTTTTTGTTTGAGTAATATAAACGCTACTATCGCCCAAACTGCCTTTATTTCTCCTCTTGTATATTCTCTTTTTCCTCTTATTTCCAGCAGTTTGTGAAGTCCTCGTCTCCAGGAGCTGTCACTCTGTCACAGATCTGCACACACACAGCTCCAGGCCCCTGCCGAAGCCTCAGGTCCTGGGAGCCCTGAGGAGGAGGCTGAACCCACAGTACCACTCCCAGAAGGCAGGGGGAGCTGTCACTGAGAAGATTGTGCTGAGATTTAGGGACGAGACTTTTGAAGACAGTTTTATGTACAGTTAAAATGCTACAGGGAGAACGTTCAGCTTCATTCACAATAATATGGAGATATTTATAGCACAAGGTCTCACCACCAAATCTAAAGTCCATTGTGTTAGCGTTAGCGCACATTTAGCTCTATAACAGTTCAGGGTGAATGAGTGAGTGTAAGTGCGACTGTGGGACAACGGATGCAAATCAGCTCAAAGCTACAATCTGGAGACGTGTGTTCATTAACATGCACTGTCCCAACCAAATAAACATAACGATAATAATTTGAGTAGGTTTTCTCCAGGTGCTCCGGTTTCCCCTCCCACTAAACATGTTAAAACATTTAATTTAGCATATGGTTAAGTGGGTAAGACTCAGGAAAGACTCAGGAATACAAACTTACAAACTTCTGGGTGGTACATCAAGACTATAGGTCTTCCCAATTGTCAATCATTCAGATTTGTTCAAAAAGTGGAGAGGGTGGTTCTTTCCTAAAATGTGGGAGACCTTTGTCTAAGTCTAGCTACATATGGAGCCACTTTGCAGGAGAAGTATGGTAACTTGAGCATTATCCTCTCCTCTTCCTATTTCATCTGCCATTGTTGTGACTTCAGCTGTAGTCTATTCATTGCTATTCACCCGCAGTCCCATTGTCTGTCCTCCAAGATAACTAATGTTGTGATTTAGGGCGATACAAAAACACATTTAATTGGATTGAAAAGATGGACGTCATTACAAAGTTCTCATTATTTTCATGGCTTTAAGCTTAGGTTCTAGTTTTAAAGAACCATGACTGTAACTCTACATAAATATAACTTATATGTTTTGAAGGGGATTAAACAGGATTATCCACAGACGCATCAGAAAACTCTCAGTGAAGAACGAGGAGCAGTCCCGGAGTTTCCTGGATCTGGATCTAAATGAAGAAGATGTTTTGTGAACGCAGAGGGTTCAGTGATGCACAAAGTGACAGAAGGAGAAGTCCAACTGTGCACAACTATATCTGCCTGAGTCCAGAGTCCAGAGTCCAGAGTCCAGAGTCCGGAGTCCGGAGTCCGGAGTCCGGAGTCCGGAGTCCGGAGTCCGGGGTCCGGGGTCCGGGGTCCGGGGTCCGGGGTCCGGAGTCCGGAGTCCGGAGTCCGGAGTCCGGAGTCCAGAGTCCAGAGTCCAGAGTCCAGAGTCCAGAGTCCAGAGTCCAGAGTCCAGAGTCCAGAGTCCAGGGTCCAGGGTCCAGGGTTCAGGGTCCAGGGTCCAGGGTCCAGGGTTCAGGGTTCAGGGTCCAGGGTCCAGAGTCCAGGGTCCAGAGTCCAGAGTCGAGGGTCGAGAGTCCAGAGTCCAGGGTCCAGGGTCCAGGGTCCAGGGTCCAGGGTCCAGGGTTCAGGGTTCAGGGTTCAGGGTCCAGGGTCCAGGGTCCAGAGTCCAGGGTCCAGGGTCCAGGGTCCAGGGTCCAGGGTCCAGAGTCCAGAGTCCAGAGTCCAGAGTCGAGAGGTCGAGAGTCCAGAGTCCAGGGTCCAGAGTCCAGAGTCCAGAGTCCAGGGCAGGGGTCAGGAGGAATACTCACAATACTCGCTTTTCATGTTTGAGAACAGGAGATAAAAGATGACAATACATGGATGACTGTAACAGAGATTAGACAAGATCCAAATCTAAAAACAGAAAAAGTAATTTATGCATTTTTTTAATTGGAGAAATTCTGAACTACTATATACAGTATTAAGATTCAGTTTATTTGATATTTGCAATAAAACCAACTGGCGCCATGTTGAGACAAGGAACATTTATGAAAAGATGTTGTTAAATTGTCCAAATTAAAGAAGAGACCAACGAGTGAGAGAGAGACTAGAGAGAGACTAACGAGAGAGAGACCAGAGAGAGACTGGAGAGAGAGCGAGAGAGAGACCAGAGAGAGAGACCAGTGAGAGACTAAAGAAAGAGAGACCAGAGAGACCAGTGAGAGACTAAAGAAAGAGAGACCAGAGAGACTAGAGAGAGACTAAAGAGAGAAAGAGAGACCAGAGAGAGACTAAAGAGATAGAGACCAGAGAGAGACTAAAGAGATAGAGACCAGAGAGAGACTAAAGAGAGAGAGACTACACAATTTTGGGTTTAAAAAATGGCTTAGAACTTTCTGTGGTCCTGCTTTTTATTGTCATATTTTCTTTTTTCTGTTTAAACCACAGTAAATCTCTGAGGATTTGTCATAGCTCTGTTTGACTGAAAGATATTCAGGTGTTTGTGACATTAACACGCTCGCTCCATGAACCCTAAACGTGAAGTTTTCAGTTCAAATTGATTGTTTCGGACAATTCTGACATTATCCAGGGACTTATAAAAAAGTAAGGTCAAAAAAAGGTCTGGAAAAGGAACAGCAGCAGCATCTAAGGCTTAGAAACTACTTAAACTTAAATAGCTGCTACAAACGTCAAAATAAGACATTTTCTCTATAATAATGATAATTCTCTGTTCTCAGCTTCACAGACAACTAGGGCTGAAACAACTAATCGATTAATCGACGACTAATCGATTATTGAAATACTTGACAACTATTTTAGTAATCGATTAATCGTTTTTAGGTTCACACGGACTCAAACAGAGCAAAAATGACATGAAAATGTAGTATTTTTGATTAAAACCGACTTTGTTTTTATAATTTCATGAATATCTGTTTGTCTCATCCAATCAGAGCAGAATTAGCACAAAGAGCCTGTTACAAACATTTACTTTAAGTTTACGCCATCAATACGTCCTCGAGTGTTGCCACTTTAGCTTTTTGTGATGAATTTTTTTTTTTTTCTACACAATTCACAGCCAAGCGATTACTCGATTAATCGTAAAAATTAGCAATTACAAAATAATTGTTAGTTGCAGCTCTACAGACAACACAAGTTTGAACAATATTATTCTTAAGCAAAGTCGTGTACTGTATTTTAAATCTACACAGAACCACAGAAACACAATGCATTCACCAGGCTAAAAGAACATATCTGGCGCTCTCTGGACATGAGCACTTTCCCTCCTCTGAAACAGGTCCTTACTATGTGGTGTGGCGCTCTCCATGGTCCTGACTCTGTGGTGTGGCACTCTCCATGGTCCTGACTCTGTGGTGTGGCGCTCTGCATGGTCCTGACTCTGTGGTGTGGCGCTCTCCATGGTCCTGACTCTGTGGTGTGGCGCTCTGCATGGTCCTGACTCTGTGGTGTGGCGCTCTCCATGGTCCTGACTCTGGTGTGGCGCTCTCCATGGTCCTGACTCTGTGGTGTGGCGCTCTCCATGGTCCTGACTCTGTGGTGTGGCGCTCTCCATGGTCCTGCCTCTGTGGTGTGGCACTCTCCATGGTCCTGACTCTGTGGTGTGAAACTCTCCATGGTCCTGACTCTGTGGTGTGGCGCTCTCCATGGTCCTGACTCTGTGGTGTGGCGCTCTCCATGGTCCTGACTCTGTGGTGTGGCGCTCTCCATGGTCCTGCCTCTGTGGTGTGGCACTCTCCATGGTCCTGACTCTGTGGTGTGAAACTCTCCATGGTCCTGACTCTGTGGTGTGGCGCTCTCCATGGTCCTGACTCTGTGGTGTGGCGCTCTCCATGGTCCTGACTCTGTGGTGTGGCGCTCTCCATGGTCCTGACTCTGTGGTGTGGCGCTCTCCAT